TTTAGTTTAAATCCATTATTCCTTGTCCTGTCACAACAGGCCTTGTTAAAAAGATTGTCCCCATCCTTCCTGTAGGCCCCCTTTAAGTATTGGAAGGCCGCAATAAGGTCTCCTCACAGCCTTCTCCTCTCTAGGCTGAACAAGCCCAACTCTCTCAGCCTGGCCTCATAGGAGAGGTGTTCCAGCCCTCGGATCATTTTGGTGGCCCTCTTCTGGACCCGCTCCAACAGGTCCATGTCCTTCTGGTGCTGAGGGCCCCAGAGCTGGACGCAGTGCTCCAGGTGAGGTCTCACCAGAGCAGAGCAGAGGGGCAGAATCACCTCCCTCGACCTGCTGGCCACGCTTCGTTGGATGCAGCCCAGGATACGGTTGGCTTTCTGGGCTGCAAGCGCACATTGCCGGCTCATGTCCAGCTTTTCACCCACCAGTACCCCCAAGTCCTTCTCCACAGGGCTGCTCTCAATCCCTTCATCCCCCAGCATGTATTGATATCGGGGGTTGCCCTGTTGTTATAGAATGGATTTACATGGGAGAGTAAAATGGAGACACTTGCTGCTGACAATGGAAAAAGTACTAAAGATGACACAGCCAATGGTTACAGAAGTGTAAAAGACTGGCTCTATACAGGCTTTAAAGTTACCTGTGTAAAGGAGCAAATATGCAGATTTTCTTTCAGTTTATACATAAAAAAATATTGATTTTGTTTCCTTATTATAAAACTAAGGAATGATGAAAAAATAAAATGACAGTGTGGTAATTAAAATTTTTCTTGCGTCTGTGTTTGTTCTGTTTTATGGTGACCAGTTCCCGTATATCCATTCAAAATCTTTTATCAGTATAAAGATACAGTAAAATAGTGCATGTTAACAGTAAAAGCAATTGCTAATGTTATATACTGCTTCTTTATAATTTTACTTTTTCAAAATACTATATTGGAAACAAGTTAGCTTATGGACTATTAGTAAGTACCAGGGAGATACAGTCTGCGTAGCTGCTCTTTTCTCTAACCCCTAGTTCCATGTTTATGGCTAAGCAACAACAGTTTAGCTTGCATTTTAGGAAGTAATATTATTTATCAAAATATTTTCAAACTAATGTAGGGACCAGGGGAAGAAGAATTGGTGTAAAGCTAAAATCTGGATCTCACTCCACCCATAACACTTTATTCAAACATCCACTCTTGGAAAACAAACGAAAAACCACCCACAAAAAAGTCAGTCCCCAAAACTACCTATTAGAATGCCTTTGAATATTCAACAGTTCAAAAGCATTTTTAAATAACATATTTCCCTCTGTGTCATTTAAAGAGCTAAACTAATCTGTTTTCTTTCTTTTGTGGATATGTTTTGTGCCAATATTTCCAGCTCTTTCCACCATTTCAAATCTGTGGTCTGAAACTTAAACTATGTCTATTGTTTCACAAAGCTATGTGTGCACGTCAAGTTTAGTTAACTTACTCTGGCAAACTTTATGTTAAAAAACCTTTCAGTCAAAAAGAGACTTCAGAAATAGTGAGAGTTTTAAACAGAATGTTGTAATGTAAATTGGCTCTAGATGTACAATGAAATACATACAGAAGACTTACGATGAGAATGTTTGCATGCCTGGGTCAGTAAGAATTTTCCTCATAGATATTCTACAACTTTTTATTATAGGCACTCCCTGATAATGCTTAATTTGTTAACTAAATTTCTTAGAGCAATATAGAAGCTTTCAAATTCTGCACCTTAAATACAGATTTTAAATTTCATTTGTGGAGCTGTTTAACATATGCTTAATACATAAACTAATCTGGTCTTGAGCTGATACTTCCATTTCATTGTTCTCCTCTGACATCAGTGTATCAGACTTGCAGAGTAGTACACTGTGACAATATGTTTAGATTTAAACAATTACGGATAATTAGAGTGGTAAATGTCATGATGTACAAGTGTTAGTGAAATATGTTTTTAATTATTACTTTGCTTTGTGTCATATTTCATCCCTTGAAGCCAGCAATACCCTCAAGATGCTTTAGCCCATTTATGGAACTTCTCCACTCTCTACTAATTATCTGTAATTAATACCTTGCTAAAAAGTTGGAATTGCTTAGTCTTGTCCTAGTATCATTTGTTACCCATGTATTTAAAAATGTAATTTAATTTTAATTCAAAGTAAATTCTTTCACAGATAATTTTTTCTGAAATTTTCTCTTGTATTCTGAGGCAAAAGAAAAATATGTTTTTTTTTTTTTAATCCGTATGTTATTCACATTAGTAGAAAATGGTTTGCATTCTACCAGAAAATTTTCCTTAAAAACAAAACAAAAAAAAGGAAACATTTTGGTAATAGATATTTGGAATTGAAAGTTACTAGGCCATTTCTGGTTTCATTGGCAATTTGTCTCTGGACCTCTTTACTTGAGGGATTACTCCATTTCATTTTACACATTTTGGAGGTAGAGTTCCCTATTCCTTTGTATTTTCTGTTGACCTTTTTTGTATCTTGATTATTTAAAGAATATAAATATTTTCTGCTTAATTTAAAAATATTCCAAAGTGCCTTTTTGAAACCTCTATTTTCTTTAGTATTCTGGAAGAAGTCTTCTTAAGTTACTCTGTCTTCTTGTGTGTTTTGTTTAGTTACTCAAAGCGCTTTGAAACTTCTGAAGTATAACACTTGAATTACTTTTCTTTAAGTGGGCTGTGTAAAAGGATCTTCTTTTTGATTGCAGTCATGACAAACTAAAATGACAAAAATTACTAATTTAAATAATATAAAAGTGATAACTATGATTTTTCTAAGATGTCTCTGTGTGTTAGTAATACAACTCTGATGTATAATGCTGATGAGTTCCTTGAATTTCACTGATGCATTATAAAACAAGAATAGAAACTAAAAATTTTCTTTTTTATTAAACTTCTTGAGGAAATAAAAAAAAAAGGCAAGTTATATTGCAGCACTCTCATTTGGATCTTCTTTAACCCACTTAAACTTTTGCATTCTTGACAATTTTGAATTCTTGAATCCTGGAGGAGACTGTGAATGACTGAGCACAGTATCTGGACTGTCACGTTTTATTTGAAACACAAATTTGTAGACACATGGTTAAATTTGACACAGTGGAAGGGTTATTTCAGCTTTTGTAAAGGAAAGCCTATGTGGTGCAGAGCTAATTGTCATTCTTCAAAGAGTTAACCAGCATCTTGTTTGAGGTTGCTGAAGCTGATAACAGCCTACTTGCATAATAAGATGTTTCAGCGAAGCTTTTACCAAAGGCTCTTTAAGGAAACTGAACAGATTTGGGATAAGAGTAAGGATTTACCAGAATAGATTATTTAGAAGATAAGGTTGTTAGAAGATAAGAAACAAGGTAAAGTGCATGGCCAGTTTTCATAGCTGTAAATCACCAGTGGAGTTTTGTGAAGATCTGTGCTGGGACCTGTGCAGTTCATTTTGTTCATAAATAATTTGGAACAGGAAGTGGAGATACCCTTTTTTTTTTTTTTTTTTTTTTTTTTTTTTTTTTTGGTCTAGGTAGTAGAGATGAGGGCTAACTAAGAAGATTTTTGGAAGGATGTTATGATAAAATTGATAGGTTAAGTGTATATAAATGTAAAGGAGGGCAAAAGGGTTGATCAAAATTTTGAAGTAGCTTCCACACATGAAATTACTGAATAGATTTTGATCTCTTTACCTGTGGAAAGATGTGAGAAGAGATGTGATGGAGCATTTTGAAGGGCTGAGAAGGTGGTTTTGCACTCCCTTTTCTGTCAGAACAACAGAGCACATGATGAAAAGAGTGATGAAACAGATGGTCCCTGATGCAGGTGCTAAAAAAGTACTGCTATTCAAAAAGTAATAGGGTGAATTCAGGATTCCTGTAATACACTGAGGACTGTTAAGGCAGTCACTTCTGGTTCAATGTGTCCCTCAGGGACTTCTTAACTTAGAGATTTCCTAAGCCGAGATAATAGCTTTATATGAGCCCAAGGGAGTATTTATCCTTGACTATCTGCTGTCAGCCTCTACTAGGCTGGATACTGCGCTAGTCAGCCTGTGGTCTTATCAAATACATCCATTTTTATGAAAGACCCTATCTTAAATTATCCTTCCTTGTTACATGTAATTCATGTTTCTGGATGAATTGGTAATTTAGCAATATGAAAATAGACTAGAACTTTCTTATCTTAATCAGGCCAATTCATCTTGAGGTACTCCTGTCTGATAAGCTCCCAGTTCCCACTTTTGTACCTACTTATGTTTTGGCTCGAGAGATTCTGCTCGCTGCTTAGTTTTCCATTAATAGGATTCTTATAGTCACTAACTGTAGGAAACCAAAGTGCTTGGGAAGTGTGTGTTGAGAGAACAATGCCTGTTCTAGATGACTAAAAAGTGGACAAACTTCTTGGGTTTTGTTAATTTTTTTTTTTTAATTAAATCTGGAAGGCTCATGGAGCAGCATGAAATTCTGCTATTTTGTGTGCAGATGACTGGAGAAAAAATATAGAGGAAAACATGTAAGGAATACGGAGGCTCTTAGTTACTGCCATCCTTTTTTGATGCTGCAAAAACCAAAACAGGCAGGACATTTAAAGAGTCATGCTTCTACAATTTATTAACTTCTTCCCATACGTTGTTGCTAGAAGGTTGATGATTTCTTTTGGTGAGGCCTCAACTCCATCAAAACTTCTTTTTATACGTGTAACTTCTCATTGATTTAATTAACAACATAAAGGTGTAGCAAGATACTTGCAGCACCTAACTGAATTAATTTGTGGTTATAAAGCATTTGTTTATTTCTGTAACATTTTGCTGGATAGCTAGAGTTTGGCATAAGCTGCTTGGAAGGGTTTTATTTCTGATCCATCCTGAACCTACCTAGCTAATACAGCATGTATTATTCTGGACAGGACTGTTGAGATGTAAGGTTTAATTAATGAAAGAAAATCTGTTATTGCTTAAAAGTATGATTTCTTTAAGACTAATTAAGAACATTTATTCTTTTTTAATTACTACAGTGTACAGACTATGACCTGGATTATGGAACTGAATGTTTGCATCTGGCTCTGAAATACTGTAAAACAAATGCCAAACTTGTTGAAGGAACAGCTGACCTCTGGAAGGTAAAGGCAATAATGATCTCTATTTTTTTAATGTGTCTTTTAAAATTAGTAAAATTCACATATTACCATAAAAATTCAGATGTGTTTTCAGTTATAATAGTTAGGCTTTTCCAAATTTCAGAACTGTTTTTGGATTATCATGAGGTTTTTTTAGAGCTCATTGTTGTAGACAGACTTGGGCAGATGTTACCTGAGCTAATCAATGAAGACAGTATTTATCTGGAAGTAGGAAAACCAACTAGGTACTTGAATAACCTGAGAATCTGTAAAACTATAAATCCATAATCTCTAAAAGTAAGAATATTCTTTTGTGAGATGAGCTTTCTCCTGCTATTTTTATATCTTTTGTTGATTTTCCTCCACTTCTCCTGTGAGGTTGTCACTTTGTCTCTGGTGCCAAATAGTTGGCTAACAACAGTTTGATTTTTAGAGCAGTTCATTACATTCACTAACACTGTAATGTTTAAGACCTCTTCAAACAATCTTTTAAAATTTTTTTTAAACATCATTCACCTTGTCTGATAACCTGTAGGTTCCTGACGACTGATAATGTGTGTATAAAGGTGCCAAAGGGTATGTCCCTGCTGCTTAAAAGTATCCCATTTCATTGTTTTGGGTGGTGGGACATTATTCTTTCTCAGTAGCTCTTGTCATGTTTATTTTATTTTATTTTATTCATTACCACATTGAAGGATCTGGAAGCAGCTCAAATCACTCCATCTGTCTTTGACAGTAAATTTCCTCCAATGGGACATGATTTCTAATAATATGACAGTAAATCTTACACCAAAAGGTAATTTCCTGAATCTGCAGTGCAAATTTCCTGTGCAATTTAGCAGCAAAATTTACTTACGCGTTGGTTGCATACAGCAACTTCTTTCAATATCTTTCTGGGGACATAGTCTTTCTGAAACAGTATATTGTCTGTTTTCCTATTCAGCCTTCTAAGGGACAGATTATGTCATGCATATTTGCATTACATCACTTTTTGGATGGTTTCATTGTTCTCATTGCAAAGTGTGGTACTTGAAGTGTAACAAAATACATCCATAATGTTCGTTTAGTTCTCTCTAATGTTTATTTAGTTCTTTACTCTCTGTAGACACGACTGATGCCCAGCACATGAAATGTAGTTTTTTGACCTAGAATGAGAGAATAATTAAGACTGAAGGAAGTATCTAGATGTCATCTGGTCCAACAGCTTGCTGAAAGTGGGGCCAGGTTAGTTAGATTAGGCTGTGCAGGGCCTTGTCCAGTTGAGTTTTGAGTATCTCCAAGAATGGAGATTTCACAGACTCTCCTGGGAAAACAATTCCAATGCATATCCCCCTGTATGGAGGAGACCTTTTCGTAATATTTGGTCAGCATTTCCCTTGCTGTCTTTTGCACTGGGAAAGGATGAAAGGGCAACAGAAAGATCTGCAAGAAAAGTGTAGCTTATTCTTCTGTATGGCCATTAATTATGACCCTTCGCCACCCTTCATCTTCTGTTCTTCAGGCTGAACAAGCCAAGTTCTCTCACACCATCTTAGCAGCCCTCTGCTGGGCTTCCTCCTGTTTCTCATTGTGTTATACTGGTCAGCCCAAAACTAGGAACAGTTCTCCAGTGTGTTCTCAAAAGTGCTGAACACAGGGGAATAATCCTTGTATTCCCTGTAATGAAGTCTACTTCCTTACAGCCCAGTCAGTTGGACTCCTTTTCTGCGCTGCTACACACTGCTGACTTATGCTCAGCTTGTCCAGGAGGTCCTTTTCTGCAAAGCTGTTTTCTATGTTTTGGCATCAGTATGGACTGCTGCACAGGGTTATTCTGTCCCAGACGCAGGATGCTGTATTTGTGGTTGTTACATTTCACAAGGTTTTTGTCAGCCCCTTTCTCCAGCCGTTCAGGATCCCTCAGGATCACAAATGAGTATTGTACCCTTGAGCATATTGAATACTTCCCCATTTGTTGTCATCTGTCTGTCTGTCATACTAATTCGCTGAGGGTATTTCCCAGGTCATTAATAAAGATATTAGACAGTATTGTCCCCAGTATCAGCCCCTGAGGAACAGCACTAGTAACCAGCCCCTAATTATGCTTCAGACTTGATCTTGTGCACACCTCTGTTTTAAAAGAGAATTGTTGAAGTGTTGGTGCCACTCCAACATTGTTGGTGAAGTGAAATCCTGATGCTGTTAACTTTTTCATGTGGGATCCATTGCAGTAGCACTGGACTTTAAAGAGGCCTGTAAACACATGGAAGATGATAACATGTGAAGAGTAAATTCCTCGTAGGTGCTTGGATATTGGACAGAGAACTTTTTTAGCTGGTGGCATACTGCAGAATATAATGGAGGAGGAGATTCAGGCAGGAAAGCTGAAAGTACTGTGGACCAGATGGAAGAGACTGTATTGGGTTTGCGTGGCAAGGTTTTGGTAGTTGGGGGGGCTACAGGGGTGGCTTCTTTGAGAAGGTGCTAGAAGCTTCCCCTGTGTCCGATAGAGCCAATGCCAGCCAGCTCCAACATGGACCCACCACTGGCCAAGGCCGAGCCCATCAGCGATGGTGGTAATGCTGTGATAACACATTTAAGAAGGGGAGGCGGGGTGGGGGAACCCAAAACCTGTGCAACTACAACAGACAGAGGGGTGAGAGTATGTGAGAGAGAGAATTCTGCAGACACCAAGGACAGTGAAGAAGGACAGGGAGGAGGTGCCTCAGGCGCCGGAGCAGAGATTCCCCTACATCCCGTGGTGAAGACCATGGTGAGACAGGACGCCCATGGAGGTTAGCGGTGCAGCAGATATCCACCTGCAGCCCGTGGAGGACCCCATGCCGGGGCAGGTGCATGCGCCCGAAAGAGGCTGTGACCCCGTGGAGAGCCTGCTCTGGAGCAGGCTCCTGGCAGGACCTGTGACCCTGTGGAGAGGAGCCCACGTTGGAGCAGGTTTGCCGGCAGGACTTGTGACCCTGTGGGAGACCCACGCTGGAGCAGTCTGCTCCTGAAGGACTGCACGTCATGGAAGGGACCCACACTGGAGCAGTTCATGAAGAACTGCAGCCTGTGGGAAGGACTCATGTTGGAGAAGTTCGTGGAGGACTCTCCTGTGGGAGGGACCCCACGCTGGAGCAGGGGAAGAGAGTGAGGAGGAAGCAGTGGCAGAGGCAACATGTGATGAACTGACCGCAGCCCCATTCCCTGCCCCCCTGTGCCACCTGGGGGATGGAGGTAGAGAAATCAGGAATGAAGCTGAGCGAATATGCTATATATAGTATACACAGAGATGCTGGTGCCATATCATTAAAGTACCTATACCTTCTCACATCCTATTCCTTGTCTTATTTTGTAGCTACAAGTCATTTGTGTCTTCTGTGGTTTGTGAAGACATTCAAAGGCATAAAAATGACAAGGTCTGTAAAATAGTAAATTGTTTCTGCAGCAAACACTCATATCAAATTAGAGGCTACAGAGGAAGATAGCTCCTTCCTGCTTGAATAGCACCCTGGTATTGGTCACTCTGTACCGATGTGTTGGCAGGTGACTTGGAGGAGTACCATTAAAGAAGAGAACACTCGTGCTCAGTATGTGCAGTTTGATGAAGTGCAGAAGACTGCCAATTCTCTCAAGTGATGCTTGCCTACAAAATGGTTAGGAGCTATTGCTCTTTGTTACCAATCACTTTTCAGAAGCAGAATTGTCTTTCCTTAGCTGACATAATAATGTCATTTATAATATGTTGTTATTTTTTTTCTGTAAGGCTTTTCGATGCTGAGATAAACTATATTTCATATGCCAAGAACGATGTGCTCCCAGTCTTATTTTTTCAACATGAGGCAAAAAGATATTCCATTCAGATGAATGAGAACTGGGATAAATAATCATTGTTCAGTTGAGGTTTTAGAGGATGTGTAACAGAAAAACTGCAGTCAATTAATAGGTGGAGAACAGTTTCTAAAGTCCAAATATTACAAACCAGTTTCATCCTATGTGGACCTTGACTTTTTAAAGAACAGATCTGATATTTGTAAGAATTCAGTTTATTTATTAGGTGCACAACCTGCATAACATTAAATGACTCAAAGCTGTGTGAAGAAGTTACTTATGTGTGCATATATGTTGTTTTCTTGAATTAACTCTTAGTTATTCTGTCTGAGCACTGTCTACTTACAGTGCATTAGAAAAAGTAACATTTCAAAGTCACTTACCAGTGGAGCTGAAGCAAGAGATAGTTTGTTTACTTTCTGGTAGCAAATTACAAAATTGAAATCATTCTTTGTAGTGACAACAACCAGGCAGGAACATTCAAATTACTCAGTGTTATAAATATTTATAAGTTCTATTATAAATGTAGTTACTCTATAACTATTTATAAGACATTTAGGATCAGGGTGGCAAAAAAGGAAACAGAATGACACTATCAACACCACATTTTCAGTTTCTCTGTGCTTGGCACCTTTGAAACAGAAAAACCTCAAACGTTCTGGGGCAATATCCTATTAAATAAAGTATAAAATCATGTAACAATATAATTGTTTGAGTTTAATATAGATGTGTGTGTATAATGCAGATGAAAACTGCATTGTAAGAACATTTTTAGAAGATTGATATGCATTTAAAGACTTCATGCTGATAGTGCAAAACATCCTCACCATTTCTAGAAACAACAGGTTATTTTCTAATCCTACAAAAATATCCCATACAAAGGAGATCTGTGTGATACCTTAGTATAACAGAGCGAAATACTTCATTAACCTATAACGCACTGCTTTTTGTGTATGTGCGATCATAACTATTGTATTTGCTTGGTAAAGAGTTATGTTTTGCATTTAACGTACAGTTTTGTAAATCTGAAATGTTCAGCAAGCTAAATCAGTTTGAAGAAAACGTTTGAACATTGAATGGGAATAACTTTGGGGAACTTTTAAAAGACCATCTTCCTAGGTAGTGAAAAGTTGCAGTCTGATAATTGAGAGAGGAGGGCACACAGGAAAACAAACAAACAAATGCTTGTGTGATGATTTTGCAGCTTTACTAAATAGATATAATAGATTCTTTATTATACAGAAAAGTAGAGAAATGTTTAATAAGTGAGACTATTATGCCTTTGCCAAATAAGCAGATGATGGTTTCATATTCCATGATAATGAGGTATTTGTGTTGAGTTTTAGTATTTGGGCTAGCGGTATTCTGGATTGCAGCAATAACGTTCAGAAAATCTTGGAACAATAGATGCTCAAGAGGACAAAATGAAAATTAACGTTGTCACATGAAGAGAGAGAATCTGAGTAGTTAGGAGCCTGTGAGTTTGATACTGATCAACAAAAGGGTGCACTGCTACAGGCAGAACTTGATTAATAAAGAGTTAAGGGACTAAAGTAATTGATGTCAACCAACATGGAATGTACTTATTTTGTGAAATTTACTTCCAATCCTTTTTTACAAGATTATAGTCTTGGCTGATAAAGATGGTAGTGCTGATACAATATATGGGTGGCAGAAGTTTGACTTGTTACTGCATGGCATCCTAATTAAAAATAGGATGACTGTAATTGCACTAGTCCTCATTAAATAGATTAAAAATTGTATAACTGATAATTCTCACCATATACAGTTCTGTAGAAGCTGTTATTGTCTCTAAGCTATTTAACATTTGTCTGATAACCTTTACAGACAACACAAAGATTTAAGGATTTGTAAATAAAAATATAATTGATCAGAAGTAACCTATAGATAAGGATTGCTTGGCAAACAATTTAAACAAAAGATATGCTTTTCATTGCAGCCAAATATAAAGAAGTGTTGTTAGAAACAAAAAAGCATAGGACATATTTAGACAATTGGTCTAGGAAGGCAGTGACTTTGAAAGTGGTGTAGGAATCACAGAGGATAGCAAGTTTCTACTGTGGGCAAAATACCTTATGTCAGCCAAGGATGTAGAAACAAGAATATGAAATTAGAGAAGAGATGTTCTAGTGATACAAGTGCATCTAGAATACTATGGTCAAATCTGGACTCAAGCTCTGTACAACTGTTGACAAATAGAGAAGGTTCAGGGAAGAGCATGCAAAAGACGACTAAATGGTAATTTGATAAGTCTGTAGGGATGTAGCTTAGTAACGTGATATTTAAAAAAGAGTGAAATGGATGACGTAGAAGATCTCTCTTCTGCAAAGTGAGAGAACTCCTTTGTGTCATTTTTCTTGCTTGTTCTTTTTCCACTGTGATTTCTGCACCTCACCTGGGCTGCGAGAGTAGAGAGTGCCATCTTACTTTCTGGTATAGAGTGGCAGTTAAAGTATTCTTCCCAGTTGATTTGGCTAGATCTGAATTGCTTCCGGCTGGGGTGAGCCCAGAATGCAAATCCACTTCAGTGAAACTAGAGATAAAGCAGTATAGCTGCGCAGAACAATAAACTGTTGTGTTGACTAGTTAAACAAAAAGTTGTTTAAAACAAATTCATACTATAACAATCAATGGTTAGAATTAAACCAAAGGTTCTCTGTCATGGTTGCCTACCTTTTGAATAAGTCTCATCTAAATTGCAAGAACAGCTCTTAATCAACACAAAATCCAGACACATTATGAATATCCATACCTTAAGAGAAACTTTGGTTGGATTTAGCATCTTATTCAATATTGAAAGAGGTTTAGAGAATCCCTCCTTTCCTGACTGGTAAGGGGTGGTCACCTGTGGTAGTTGGCAGGGTTTTTCTCTCTGTCAACTTTACTGTTTTCATAAAGCTTATAGGATCAAAGATTATGAAAGAAATATATATGGATAGTGTGATATGGTCTCAGATGATTTATTCCTCTAGGAAACCACCCTAAAAAATATTTGCTGGTGTCTGGCTCAGAATTTCAGAAGTGATTTTAAAGGTTCATTCTTAATTTTTTATTATTCTGTGCTGTTTTCCTGAAGACTGGGCCTACTTTATGAAGTAACTTCTTTTTAAAATCAGACTATTTAAAAATACTTCTGCCTCTCAGATTGTGAACCTTGGAGTACATGAAACCACTTTTGACAGAGCTTAGATAGTCTTGTTTCTTGAAAGGTTTTTAGGTGGCAATCTGTTACAGGTTTACTAAAAGTTCAGTATAAAAGCCTTCTAGAAACAGGTAATTAGAAAGAAACCTTGCAACAAAATTGGTCACTCAATAATTCTTTATCCTTAAATTTAAACTCAAGACATTGATCATTGATTCTTCCCAACAGTATGTAAACTCAGACACCTAGGATTTCTTAGGCTAGATTCATTCTCTGGCTGCTTCTCCTGCAAGACAAGCTGTAGGGAAGTAAGTTAATTTTTAATTTTAGAAGATTATAATTACTTGGAGAAATGATGAGTAATGAGAAAGGTAACATTATTCATCTCTCTCTGACTACAATACACAGCTTAATTTATGAGATGGAAAGGAAAGTGGTTACAAGAATCCTTACATTAAAATCAAATAATAATTTACTTGGAGACTAAAATGCTAATACCTACAATGCTGTGTTTCTGATGTAAGATTTACTTTGCAGCACTAAAGCTTTTAGAATCCTATTTGGTCCATCTCAAAAAGAAAGAGAAAAGTTATTCAGACTCTAGAGAAACAAATGCAGAAAATCCAGTAATATTGTATTTAACATAAAAGGAAGTTACAGTAAAAAGAAAGACAAATACGTAGGAGTTATTCTTATATCAGTTTATGTCACTGCATGTTATTGCAAAGACATTGCTGTTAATGCCTTGGGTAGATGCCGTCTTTAGTTTTCTGTTATTTTATTTGCAAAGCTTAATACTGGAACTGTCAACCACCATGAGGGTTCAAAGGCAGATATGATGGGTGTTTTCTGCAAGTACCAGGTAAATAGTCAGCATCTTACTGTGCATCTAACTTGATCTGACTAATGTCTTCAAGTAGATCTTGATGGTTTTTAATCCTCTGAAAGCTCATACAAAGCCTACTATAGTCTCACTGATTCCCACTGATTAATTGGACTCTGGTTAACAGTAATAGTCTTGCACTACTGAAAAATTACCCCTATATGAGTAAAAGAAATAACGAGGCTTCTCCCTGGCTGTCATTTTTATGATCACAAGTCCTATGAAAAATGAATCTATTTCACAACAAAATTATAGAGTAGAATGGATGTGTGAAAATAGGTGTAATATCATGTTTTTATGATTCTTCAAAGGGTTAAAAATAGTTTTAGATTTCAAATTACTTCTGAGCAGATCTAAGTATTTAAAAAAAGTTTCTCTCAACTCTCCGGTAATTTCTGCAATTTCTGTTCTCATGACTTGCCAGTGATATTTTACCAGAATTAAGAAATTGACAATATCATTTGTTTATGGTATTTCAGATGTAAAGAATTGCCTTCAGGGCATTATTTTATTGGTTTTACATTCCTTCCTGCTGTGTTAAATCTAATGAGGTTTGTCTGTCCTTTAGGTGACCTACAAGCGGGATCTGTATGCAGCTGAATCGATTATTAAGGGTATGTGTTTGTCCTTGTGGCTGTCAGTTTGCATAGTCCTGAGTCTAATTAAGAATCTTGTGTGCTGTAGTTTTAAATGTCTTTAAGAAAAGTTTTATGATGAATAAAATGTGCTTAGGCAAGTTGTTTTAGCTTGTTCGCTGGAATGCTTACATTACGCATTATTTACCTTTATTTACTTCTCTATTCTAAGAGAACCTTATAAAAAGCTGGGTATATTACAGAGTCAAACAGAGATTAATTTTGAATGTCTTATAAGGAATAAACATTTTTTTTTCTTTCATTTGCAGTTCAATTCTGAATATGTTCCATCTTTCTAATCTAAGTAGTAGACTGAAAATTAAATATTAACTCTTTAGGGCTCTTTACTCTTTTACATATAGCAACTTGTTACATGAATTGATATAGCAATTATATGACATTGAGGTAGTCCATTAATTTATAAATACTTTGAACTGTTTTTTAACCTTTTCCTGTACTGGTAACAGGGGTTTCATAGCAGTTTAACATAAAGACTAAGTCTAGTCTTTATCTAGATTGACTCAATCTAAAAACAATGTAGAAAGGAAGAACTCTTAAGTACTGTATAATGAACACACTGATGGTTATTGTAAACTGATAGGCACCAATTCAGGGGACTCTTGCTTGACTCCTTGTTGAGAACTGAGGGATAAAAGCCCAGAAACTGATGAAGAGAAAGAGACTTCCCTTTGGATTAAAAACATCTTTCCAGAGAAAAGAGTGTCGTTCCTATTTAAGAAAAACAGAGCAAAACCCATGTCCTATTAGGGCATGGTGAGTGGCTGGCTAGTGGTTCACTTTGGTGGCTCATGTGTTGTTACAGGATCCAGTGTTGCCTTAGCTTCTGGTTTGGGTAAATTAGACCATGCCGAGATCAGCTCTGTCACTGTAGACAAGCTAGAAAGCTTAAACAGACCTCAGATATTGCTGTGGTATTATGCATGCTGCTTCTCCAGACTACCTGACTGCATTTTTCAGGCATGTATCAAGGAGATAGGGCTAGGGAAACCTTGGAAGTTCTGGTTTTGACAGGGAATGGGCTCTCATCTGCATAGCTGGAGGCCTGGAATTTTTGAAAATCTTGTTTTGAGTAGGATTCTTAGAGGTCCCACACTCCTCTAGCTTTCAGTCTTAGGATTTCCAAACATACTAAAGACAAGAAGGTGGCTGGGAGTAGTCAGCATGAATTTACAAAAGGGAAATTATGTCTCTCCAACCTGATAGCCTTCTACAATGAAATGACTAGCTTGGTGAATGAGAGGAGAGTAGTGGATATGGTTTGTCTTTATTTCAGGAAGGCTTCTGACACTATCTCCCATGATATTCTCATTGACAAACTGATGAAGTACAGACTAGAAAAGTGGACAGTGAGATGGATTGAAAACTGGCTGAACTGTCAGGCTGAAATAGTAAAGTCCATCTGGAGCCCAGTTAGTAGTGGTCTACCCTAGGGGTCAATGCTGTGTAAAATCTTCACTAATGATCTGAATGATAGGGCAGAGCACACCCTCAGCAAGTCTGCAGATGGTGTAAAATTGGGAGGACTAGTTGATAGACCAGGTGGTTGTGCTGCCTTTCAGAAGGACCTTGATAGGCTGGGGAAATGGGAGAACAGGAGTCTTATGAAATTCAGCAAGGGGAAGTGCAAACTCGTGCACTTGGGAAGCACCATTACAGGCTGGGGGCTGACCAGCTGGAAAGCAGTTCTGCAGAAAAGGCCCTGGGGGCGTCCTGGTGGACAACAAATGGAACAGGAACTGGCAATGTGCCCTTATGGCAAAGAAGGTCAACAGCCCCCTGGGCTATGGTAGGCAGAGCATTGCCAGTAGATCCAGGGATGTGATCCTTCCACTCTGCTCAGCACTGGTGAGGTCGTATCTGGAGCATTGGGTCCAATTCTGGGCTCCCCTGTGCAGGAGAGACATGGTCATACTGGAGAGAGTCAAGCAAAGGGCCATGACAATGATTAAAGTAGTGGAGCATCTGTCGTATGAGGAGATGCTGTGAGAGCTTGGACTGTTATGTATGGAGCCAAGAAGGTTCAGGGACTCAGCAATGTGTATAAATGCCAGATGGGGCAGAGTGAAGAAGGTGGAGCCAAACTCTTCCTCAGTGGTGTTCAGCAAAAAGAGAACAGGCGATGGACACAAACTGAAATATGGAAAATGCCATTTATGCATCTGGAAAGTCCAGAAATTCTTAGGATTCTCAGGTTTTTTTATTACAAAGCTGAGAGGTTGGAAGGGACGCTATCTGTCCTTGATTTCCTAGGAATCGTTCGTTCAGCTGAGATTGCCAATATCAGCATCTCTTGGCTTATAAATGCCATTTTTCATCAGCTTTTATTGATTACTGAAAAGAATATTGCATGTCAGAAATTACTTGGATTGATATTGTCAGAACAGTATTTTTAACTTATTCAAGCTTATCGGAAGTTCTGAAAATGGGGGTGTGATCTGACTTAAACTGGAAAAATATTTTCAAAATATGCACTTTCTTCATTTTGTCCACTTATTTTTTGATAGCTTTTGGATATTTACAAGCTTTATGCAAGCAGAATTCATTCTGCCATTAAGAGTTTTTCACAAATAAAATCTAGATAAGAAGTTCTTGAGTTGTCCCGGTGATTATCAAAGGGTTGTTTTTTTTTTTTTAATTTTCTGAAACTCTTGTGCTCTTGGAAAACTACATAGTAGTTTTCATTTAATTTTAAGTGATCTTTCCTTGGATACAACAATTCAGTTTGAATACAAATTTTAAAAGCTCAGTGTTGTGGTTTAGCTCATGTTGGCAACCAAGCACCACACAGCTGCTCACTCACCCTCCCTCCTGGTGTGATGGGGGAGAGAATTGGAAGGGCAAAAGTAAGAAAACTCATGGGTTGAGATAAGAACAGTTAATAATTGAAATAAAGTAATAACAATTGTACTAAAAATTGTAATGAAAAGGTGAACAATGAGAGAGAGAGAGAAACAAAACCTGGGGTGGGGGACGGTGGGGAAACAAGCGATGCAACCGCTCACCACCCACCGACTGATGCCCAGCCGGTTCCCGAGCAGCGATCGCTGCCCCCCAGACAACTCCCCGCAGTTTATATACTGAGCATGACGTCATATGGTATGGAATAGCCCTTGGGTCAGTTTGGATCAACTATCCTGGCTGTGCCCCCTCCCAGCTTCTTGTGTACCTGGCAGAGCACGGAAAGCTGAAAAAGTCCTTGACCAGTGTAAGCAGTACTTAGCAACAACTAAAACATCAGTGTGTTCTCAATGTTATTCTCATACTAAATCCAAAACACTGCACTATACCAGCTACTAGGGAGAAAATTAACTCTCGCCCAGCTGAAACCAGGACACTCAAATATTGTTATTGTGTTTGTCATATGAGCAAAATTACTCGTAAGGCAAAAAAATAGTTAATAGAATGAATCAGTATGCAAAAGAGGGATTTCATGGTACAGTATGATGTAAAATTAAGCAATGATTTTTATCTCCTTGATGAATAGGAATTGGAACTAATACTTCACCTTGAATGATAGATCAATGGAAAAAAGGGAAGCTTCCTATCTTTGCGAAGTGCAAAAGTGATTATATAAAAAAATGAAGTTCTTTTTTTCCAGTCTAAATATAGGTCCCATTACACCATTCTCACTGAATTCCTAATTCTAATAGAGTGCATGCTTTTACAGTACAGACTTCTTTTCATTTTAAGTATTATCTGTAATTTTAAGTATTAGCGGCATAGCAGAGACTGTCAAAGAAAAATTCCCTCTGATGGTTACGTTAATAAGGAAATGTAGAGAGCTGATTCGGCTGCTCGGATGTGCTGTTTTGTTACACTATTTGTAAATATTTGCTGTAAAAAGAATTGTACTTCTGTTAGTCAAGCTTGCTGAGTCAGTAATACCAGCATAAAATTATGTAAATACCATGAATCAGCTCAGTGAATGTATTGTGTTGATCATATCTTAACAAAAGGTTCAGTATTCAATTTGGAAAAAATCTCCGCAAACTCAAAGTTCTATGTTAACTTTTATCTTATTTTCCTTTTTCCTGTGTATTTTTCATATTTATTTACCACGTATGTTTGCAATATTTAATGGCGATTTATCAGTCATTACTGGATTAAGTAGATCCATTTTCATTTCCATTTTCCTTGAACTTAACTGTAGACCGTACTTCTTTTGTAATATAAAGGCCAATTTATTGAACTGTATCATTCAGTATTACTCAAATATTTAAGAGTTATTAAGTTCAGATGTCCTTCAGGATATACTGAGGGTGTGTAAAGTTTAAAGGAAAAGAAAAATCAAAACCAGTGCTGATTTATATTTTTAAAAAGTTCTTGTCCATCTTCTTGCAGTGTATTTGATCCCTTGCTAGATGTGTTCTTCTGTAGTGGTCAAGGAGAAAGCCAGATGGACACCTTATGTAAGATATGTTGCTTTATGTAGCTAGAGAAGGAGTCAGCACCCTGCTCCTGTCATTCAGCTGTCCAGTTTGCTTATGCCTCCTTCCCCACATATCCCCATCATTACAGAGCAGCTTTTGCGACAGTGGGAACTGAGTCATCACGCTTCTTGTGGGGAAACTAGAAATAAATACAATGTGAAAAAATGGTTTCTGTGCTCTCCCTCTGCTGCCCTCTCATCCTTATAAAGGCAACTCCTTGTGTTCTTTTCAGTGCTATCCTTTCTTCTTTATAGATTATTTAAAAGAAAAACAAGTAGACTGGTAATATTTTGAAACATTTTGCTTAAAAAATGTTTTTATAGTATTTTATGCTAATTTTATGTAACACATACAGCTGTTTCATACAAAAAAATTATAAACCTGAAACAATACTGCAGCCTTCATGCAAATGAATTTCCATGTTCCTGTGTACATAAGGGCTTCAATAATCTTGTAAGTCATTAAAGAAGATTAGTTATCATTTATTTAGAAAATGATAGCTTTCTCTACAACTGCTTGAGTAGAAAA